ATCTCATCCTCTGCCGTCCTCTTCTCCTTTTGCCTTCAATATTTCCCAGCATCAGTGTCTTTTCCAAAGAGTCCTCTCTTCACACTATGGTTCGGACTAATGCCTATTTCTGTCTGTTTTTACATGGGTAATAAAGTGTTGTTTTAAATGCATATATTTCTTGGAACACACCATTTTAATTTTAACTGGTTTTGAACTTTTATCTACATTTCTAACTCAGATTGTCATTCAAACATTTGACTACCATCAGCAAACTGAATGATAGCTGTACTTTAGCGAATAGGTTAATTGCATTTCTGGTTAGAAAGTTAACTGTGTTTAATTATAAATGATGAGAAATTATTTCCATTAATTCTTAATAACCTCTCATGTCTGAGCATATTTGATGCACAATCCATTTATTATTCCCTGGTTTCACGGCCCTTTTCCAATTTCCCAGCAGAGAAATGAGGAAGAAGACAGTGCTGCATTTTTAGAATTCCATTAGGATCTCAGTGATGATTCATCCTCACAGTCAGTTGAGGTGGAAAAATATTAATCTATTCTGATGTGTTTAATAGTACTGGATTACATTGTGTTAATTTCTCTTTTTCAGATCTCATTAATGGAGCCCAGGAACAGTGTGAATTGCCTCCCATGGATGGTTTTCCTCACTGCGAGGGCAAAATAAAAGTAAGTCTCATCTATTATACCATTTATCTATCTGGGTGTATTCATTCTCCAATACAAAATGTTCTAATGCTAACCAACATTTCATCCGTTCAATCTGTTACCTTATCAGAAGAGAAGGGGTGAAAAAATTATACAGTTTTCTCTTAGCACTATGTGAGTATGGTAACTGAAGCAGAGTAGATAGTAATTCATAATGTTTTGATCCAGATGCCAAAAATGTTGTCTAATTCTTTATGAAGAAGTTGAATAGTAATATGTTGAAGATTGCAGTTATATCTGAAGGGCAAGGATAAAAATCTAAGAGGTTTCTAGTCTCATTTACAAATACAGACATGGTTGGATGAACTCCATATAAAGAATAAGACTTCATGCCACATATGTGGATAAAAGATCATGCTCATGGTGAACCATAGAAATATGAAAGTTGTTTTGACCAGTAGTGAAATTCCTACAGGTTATAGCAATTATCTTTCTGATAACTGAAGCTTGCATTGTTGATA